AAGTAATCGAACTGGCTCTGAAAGACTGTACATGTAAAAATTTAAGTAAGGAAGGACTCTGCACTTACTAGATCATGTTTTATTTTTCAGGTCACCACATTATGCCTGCCCAGAAGTAATCCGGGTATGTGAGCTTGAAATCTTTACATGCTTAGAAAAAGCCACTAACAGACACTTGCCCTATCTTATTATCAAGAGACTCTTGATTCTCCTCAGCTGTGCTGTTGAAGACAGACATTTCTCTAGAATGTCTAATTGATGCCATAATGCAAAGGAGTTACAAAGTTTAAGAATGAAGTGACCTTTATAATACTACCCTAAAGAACACTAAGAACCAAAGCAAACACAGTTATCATCTTTCACTTTATTTATTCTTACCTTCAGATTTATCTATGTTGTTCCTCCCCCTGACTATATGCCTTCACATCCTTCATCTAAGAAAGATGAAATATGATTTCTTCAGCTGCTGTTGATGTGCTACTGGATATACCAGTGCCACTATACAAGATGTGTTGTCTATTCAAGGCAGGTGTAAGAAACATCTTTTCTTTGACCTATGATTCTCAGAATCCCATAGTGAGCATGGCCTGTCATAAAATCAGGTCATTAAAGGCTGATGCTACAGATATGAATCATTGTGAGTTCCATGAAGAACCACCTAGGAAGTAAACAGTTCCATGGTATTTTGAAGCCTTCTGTAACATTTTTAAGTCCCTCAGTCTTCTTCCCAACTTTGGGTCCCCAGATGTTCTTGGACTACAACTCCCAAAAAGTCCTGACCAGCACAGCTATTGGTGAAGGATTCTGGGAGTGTCCAACAATATTTGGGAACTCAAGTTTGGGAACCACTGTAGACCAAGATCCTATTGCTCCATTATTCTTATACTGTACTCCTTTAAATGTATGGTGGAGCTCTGTCCCATTGAAGCCCACAAGGGCAATTTCTGGCTTGCCTCCAGCAAGTCAGAAGTCACAGAACAATATACGTACAGTACCCCCTTATCACACCCCCTTGTATATCACAGAAGTGAGTATACCCCCTCACATTTCATAAATATTTTAGTATACCTTTTCATGTGACAATATGTGATATACTATAGATCGAATTGTGATCACGGTGTACTTCTCAATAAGAATTCCCTAGATTTTGTTCCTCAAAGACAAAACAAAACAACAACACAACAACAAACCCAGCAACCAATTCTTGATCTGGAAATTCAGGTTTCTCTCTTTTACATTTTTATTCTGATTTCCCTTGGTATGTATCATTATGGTTTATAGAAAACATTAAGATATCTTGTGGTATTTTAAAAACGGACATGTAATTTAATTGGCATACATTTTCATGAGGCGTAGCCTTTTTCATCAGATGTGTGGAGTGCTATTTGTAAACATACCTGGATGAGAGAATGATGTAGGGAACTGGAAATGCAAAAGATACAGGCATTGATAATTATCTTAAGAATGGACATTTAACAAAGAATATTTGCACAGTGACAACTATGTTCTGGTCCAGACAACTAATTTCAGATATGTATGTTGATAAAAGGTTATCCAATCCAGATGTAAAAGATTGGGTTTAACCACTGTGATTTATTATAAATATGTTAGTTCAGATACATTCCAAGCATCTGATGAAGAAATATTCATAAACATTATTGGTGCATGTTGAGCTACGTGACTCATTGTGCAACACATTCCGTAACTTATACCAATTTACTCTAAAAGTACCATCATTGACATAACTGTGCAACAAGATTTCAGCCATTTTTATTATACGAGTAATATATGAGGTCATCGAAGCTACCAACATCAATTTGACCAAACGCCGGGAGGCAGTGGAAGACAGGAGGGCCTAGCATGCTCTGTTCCATGCGGTTACGAAGAGTTGGACATGACTTAACGACTAAACAACAAGAAGATATAATACATTGCTTAAATATATAGAGGGAAGATTATTCATCTTTGCCTCCTAAAGAATTCAAGTATTTCTGACCTTTTCCTCCAACTGAATTCAAGGATAGCTGAATGTACATTTTTCTTAAACAGCTTTCAGTTTAACCTCCTACTTCCGTATTATATAGGGAGAAAAGTATGATGGAAGAAAAGCAGATGTCTGGAGCTGCGGAGTCATTTTATTTGCATTGTTAGTGGTGAGTCATCCTTTGCATGTTATTTTTAAAAATTCTGCTGTATTTTTAAACTTGTGCTTTGACATCATCTGCATTTGTTGAGTTTGTTCACTCTCATTTTCCCTTTATAACTCCTAAGTGCAACTTATTTGCATTATTCTTATAATGCATGACGAATATTTTCCAACGTCTGTGAAATGCTAATCCTGAAATGGGGAATTCTGATATAAAGGGAAGGACAGGATATATGGAAATAAGAGATATTTTTAAAATTCTTTTATGATAAGAGATACAGCTAAAGGGAGTCATTTTTAAAAGGACTTTTAGTTTTTCCCCACTTTTTGTCAGCAACATTAGCTTTAAAAAAACAGTAGTATTTAATTGTGCTTTAAATGCTTAGAGTTTGCAAAACACAACTTATATTATTAAAAAAACAAATTCTGTGACTTTGTGAGATTGTAAAATTGCAAAATGGTTAAAAAGAAAAACAGATAATTAAAAAGAAATTATTGTAAAATCTTAATAATTCTAGGCATTACCCTTTGGTTCTACATAACAAACAAAACATATTCAATACATTGCCCTCTTAATTATCTGCTGTTTTTTAATTAACATGAAGGAATCTCCATTAGCCATAAAGTAGTGATCATGGACGTTAGTTTAAACTACAGCATACTGTGGACCCTTCATAAAGTAGTGATCATGGACGTTAGTTTAGACTACAGTACAGCATACTGTGGACCCTCGACGTACGCATGGCTCGACATGCATAATTTTAAAGGCATGAACTTCTCCAGCCGCAAAATTTCCAATTAATTTGTGGCTGGAGAATCAACCTTCAGACCAGAAGGGGGAGGCAGGGACAGTACCAAATTCAAATTTGGCACTTTCCCCGCCTCCCCCTTTCAGTCTGTAGGCTGCCAATCATGGCTCAGAATGCCTTTCAGGGCTTCTCCACTGCCACGGGAGGCATCTCGGAGGTCCCCCCCACTGCTGATCGTGCCTCCGAAGCATGATTGGTGTTGGGGGGACCTCCGAGATGCCTCCCGGGGCAGTGGAGAAGCCCTGGAAGGCATCCGGAGGTCCCCCTCACCACCGATCGTGCCTCCGGAGCTTCTACTGAGGCACAATCGGCGGCGAGGGGGACCTCCGGATGCCTTCCAGGGCTTCTCCACTGCCCCGGGAGGCATCTCGGAGGTCCCCCCAACACCAATCATGCTTCGGAGGCACGATCAGCGGTGGGGGGGGGACCTCCGAGATGCCTCCCGGGGCAGTGGAGAAGCCCTGGAAGGCATCCGGAGGTCCCCCTCACCACCGATCGTGCCTCCGGAGCTTCTACTGAGGCACAATCGGCGGCGAGGGGGACCTCCGGATGCCTTCCAGGGCTTCTCCACTGCCCCGGGAGGCATCTCGGAGGTCCCCCCCACTGCTGATCGTGCCTCCGAAGCACGATTGGTGTTGGGGGGGCCTCCGAGAGGCCTCTGGCAGCAGCGGGGAAGCCCTCAGAGGCCTCGGGCAGCGGCGATGGTGGCAGCGGGGGATGCCTGGAAGGCTTCAGAAAGGTAAGGTCCATTTTCATTTGTGTGGGGGGGGAGGGGGTTCTTGGGCCGGTTACAGATTAAATGGTTTTCAATGCATTCCTATAGGAAATGCATATTCGACCTACGGGATTTTTCGACCTGCGGCCACCCTTCCAATACGGATTAATTCCGTAGGTCGAAGGTCCACTGTGTACAAGTCAGCAGTCAGTTTTTTGATACAATGATATTTGGAGTTTAATTAGTTTCGTGCACCTCAACTGGGTCATGGTTTCAATGGTGTTACATCAAAAAGGGAGAGGAGGACACCCACTCCATCCAGGATCCAGGCACTTTAACAGCTGGAAGGTATTGCTGAGTTAAAGGTAAAGGTTCCCCTTGACAATTTGTCCAGTCGTGTCTGACTCTAGGGGGTAATGCTCATCTCCGTTTCCAACCCATAGAGCTAGCATTTGTTCGAAGACAATCTTCCATGGTCACATGGCCAGCGCGACTAGACACAGAACACCGTTTACCTTCCCACTGTGGTGGTACCTATTTATCTACTCGCATTTTGCAAGCTTTCAAACCGCTAGGTTGTCAGGAGATTGTTGAGTTAGTAAGTGACTATATGAACCATTCCAAGGTAATTTCCTGAAGAATTCCATGTCTCTCTCCCAATTTGTGCATTTATCTGTCATAGGTTGAGGAACAGCTGGTGATCCAATCAAAGTGAGCAAACTTCATCTGAAGCTTTGAGGGCAGGCTCTCCTTACTGGAACTTTAGGTGCATAGCACCTTTTCGTGGTGTACCTATACTTGTACATTGTGTGCATGTTGACCTTCTAGTGTAATTGTATTAGTGATATACCAAATTTCTTCTTCCCAGAAATATCATTGTACACTCATATCTATTACTACACACTTCATTGATAGACTGATATTACATAGTTTATGTCAGATATATAGACAAGTAATTGAAATTGTTAACAAAAATGGTGTCCACCTCCCCATTTTCAAAATAGAATTACAAATAATTTTAGAAAACCACCCAGTTTCAGTGAGGTAAATATTGAATAACATTGATAGCCATTTGTGTCTCATAGGATATTGAAGAGAAGGTTAAGAGATCGAAGAATTTATGTGAAACCTAAACATTTCCAAGAATCTAATTACTTCATGTGGGTTTTAATCCTCATTTTAGGCTAGCTGAGAAATAGATACTCATTTTGTATTCACCTTAGCTTGAGGATTGCTTTTGTCTTTTTGTCATTATGCGTGAAATCAGGTCATATTCAGTCAGTTGGCATTTGACAGTTCTAAGGTGAAAAACTCTCTGATGCTGAACTGCAGCCTTTTGTTGTAAATATGTCCTAAGGAAATTAGAACTCAGAGTAAACATGTCTTCTTCTAAGCGGTTGCCTAGAGTACTTGCCAGGATATCAAATCTTGTAACTACAGTTAATATGCTCATTTGAATTGAAGTGGCTCGCTGCATCTATGGATAATTTTCTTGAAGCCCATTTATGCTATTGGGTCCTTCATTGACCAGTTAAAATGTGAAATAATAAATTCCACTGATTGAACTAGGTTTTATTTTTCTGTCCTGGAGGGAGTAAAGAGATATGGTGCTTCTGGGACACTGGAAAATTGGCTCTTTATACCAATCTTACTTTGTTCACCAGGGTTCTTAATATCTCCTGTTTTTTCTGTTTTGCTTTCACTGAATTTGCTCACCCTTCTTTCTTTCTTTCTTTCTTTCTTTCTTTCTTTCTTTCTTTCTTTCTTTCTTTCTTTCTTTCTTTCTTTCTTTCTTTCTCCCTTTCTTTTATTCTCCTGTGTCCTCTTCCTCTGTCATGCTGCTCCAGGGTGCTCTACCATTTGACGACGATAATCTGCGGCAGCTGTTGGAGAAGGTGAAGCGTGGTGTGTTCCATATGCCACATTTCATCCCCCCAGATTGTCAGAATCTCTTACGGGGGATGATTGAAGTGGATGCCTCGAAACGGCTGACGGTAATATGACATTCATTGTGGAACTGTTTACTTTACTTTTTGAGACACTCAGTGTACAGTATCTGTATCTTAATTGTTGGTTCTGTCCAGATTCTTTGCACTAGTACTCCCATCAGCCCGAACCAGCTTGAGTAAAGGTTAGGGGTGATGGAAATTGTAGGCCAAACTTCTGGAAGATCCTAGTTTCACATAACTCCAAGTTACTATCAGGGTTCTAGAAAAACATAGACTCTTATACTGGTGCACAATTAAATAGATATTTAATACTAATATTAAGATTGAAGCAAAATTAGTTTTTTTAAATTGTATTTTGATTTTAATTTGTTAATTTAAAACAACGTGCATTTCTAGCTATTATATAATTATAAACATGGATGTTTCAGTGCATTTCCATATTTTAAAAAAAGCAAGTCAGAGTAAAACTTTCAGTGTCCTGTTCAGTGGTCTTTGCAAAAATCAGAACTCTTGTTTTTAAAAGGAACATTCTACGCATTGTGGATTGATTTTCGCAAGTAACTTATTATTTGGAAGTATAAAATAAAATAATGGATTGTTAACATATTATTAGTAACAGATTCTTAAAAATGATTTTACACTAACACACAAAATAGCTCAAAATGGCCAATCTGTTCCTACCACTGAAAAATATCTGTGCAGTTAACAAATAAATGTAAGGCATTATGAAAAACGTTTGTCTCATTTTGTTAAAGTTTTAAAAGTTCTTTTTCTGTTTTCTCTCAGTGGGAAGAGGATTTTTATTTTGTTTTTGTTTGTTTGTTATTGTTTACCACAGAATATAATGAACCATGTTTATTATTTCCAAACCCTCCCTTTCTACATCTCTTCCAAAAATCTGGCCCTAAAACCTGTATTTGCATTTATTCTCAGGAAGTGTGCTTATAGCCATTGTACATGATGAACCTTCACCTATGTTTACAATTAATTTAACATATCTGTGATGAACTATTTTACTTTAGATTCATTTTCCCATATTAAAAGCCAGCTTCTATCTGTATTAAGCATTTCACACACCCAGTCTGTTATGCTATGGTTGCTATTCATATAAATCATGATTGAAGACTACATAATGCTTGGCCTGTTACTATTGTTGTTTAATATTCATTACTACCTCCAGTGCTACTCTCTTCCCCCTGTTAGATTCTCCACATCTAACTTTTTCAGATTCTGCATTTTATTTATTATGTATTTCCTGCAGTCATTGTTAGTGGAGGAGATGGTTCCTGCCCACCAGGACTCTAAAAGCAATGTACAATGAAATGCATTTTAAAGCCATTTTTAAAGAAAAAGATTAAAAGGGATTTCTAAAAGCCATTAAAAACAATTTTACAAATCAAAGGGCATACAGAATAGTACAGATATGACTGTCAGTTTACTGCCTATAAACTGATACTGAGCTGGATTGCAGTATTGCTGATTTGAGTTCAGTTTATAATCAGATCACTGGGGGGGGACATGAAAATATACAGATACAATCTTGCTATTTCTGAATGTCGGCACCATCACCATTTTGAACCAAATGTTGTAGATTTCTCATTCAGTTAGTTTGCTTTGTGCTGTGCCTCCTTATAAAATGAACTTAGGCCAGAGCTGAATAATAACCATGTGCTGTCAAGTCCATTCTGATAGATGCTGAGCCTTTTCAAACTCTTCTAGGTAGAGAATACTCAGAAGCAGTTAATCATTCTCTTCTTCTGGGGCAATCCTGGGACTGTGCAGCTTGCTCAAGGCCACATAGGCTGTCTTTACTCGCAAGAAACACATTGGGGAATCGAACTCCCAGCTTCTGACTCGGCAGAAACCACCAAACTATCCAGCCAGCTATAGGCCATGGTGGAACTGTAACATTTTTAAAAATACCGTGCTTAATACTAACGAGGAAGTAATGAAAAATTTGTGAAAAGCAGGACTTCTAAGTTAGTTGATATATTTTAGCTTTTATGGATGTCTTTGATCTCAGGCTTTTGCAGCAGTATCTAATGACTAAACTAAGAGTGAGATGGAAATTATGTAAGCCTCTCTTAAACTCCAGCAACCTTCCTTTGCACAACTGGCCACACAAATGGAACAAGAATGAACATGCAACAGGGAGTCTCCTGGATTGAGAGGGACATTTATGTGATTGCTCCTCTGCTTTGCTCTGCTCTGCTCTGCTCTGCTCTATTTAGGCTGTTAAGATACAGGCCTCAGTAGTCATTTTCTCTGTCGTTACTGAGCTCACAAAATACCTCGGCTTGGGAGTATGTATGAAAAAATGTAAATGTGGAAGTTAAAATATTTATAAATCACAACTTAGATCAGTGTGCAGCTTCTCCCCAAAACAGCGCATACTAGTGAGTCATCCTGTATAAAACAGAATGATTTGAGGATGTGAGCTCCCACCCACCAGCCATATAAGCATCATATACACATCTGCTAGAGACAGAAATGCATAGTAATTGGTTATCTTTCAGTTCCACTCATTATTGGTGTAGAATACATTTAGCTTGGTGAGTAATATCCTAGATCCATCGGATGCTAGAAGTCATTGGGTTTCAATATTGTATCTAATTTCCTGTCCTCGGAATCCCAATTATTGTGTCTATGTACTTGGATTTCAGATATCATCTGGAAGTTGCCCTAGTTTGCCTGAACTGCCAAACATTATCTTCCATTGTTGTTATGCGCCATCAAGTCACCTCCGACTTATACCAATCCTATGAATGAGTGTTCTCCAAAATGTCTTGTCCTCAACACTCCTACTTCAGTTCTTGGAAATGTACGCTGTAGCTTCCTTTAGGGGAAAAAAAATCCATCTTGTAATTGTTCTTCCTCTTTTTCTGCTGCCTTCAACCTTTCCCAGGCTGACTTACAATATTAAAAAAAAAATAGAACTTTAGTTTTAAAGAACAGTATAAAAAAATCAACCACGAACTCAAGTGTTAGCAATGCTTTTAAAATTACTTCTAATTTTGTTCTGTTGCTCAATCCAGTGTGTTGTCACTGTTTGCTGTAGTGTTGAACATGTAACTTACCTTACTTGTTGCCTTGCTCATATTTTTTTTTTAGTTTTTGTGATTTTTTTTTAAAGCCAGAATTAGTAAAAGAGTGATATATCCTCAGGGCTCAATACTGTCCCCCATGCTGTTTAACATCTACATGAAACCGCTGGGAGAGGTCATCAGGAGGTTTGGGCTGAGAAGTCAGCAATATGCTGACGATATTCAGCTCTACCTCTCGTTTTCCACCAATCCAGGTGAGGTGGTTTCTGTGCTGAACTCGTGTCTGGACCTGATAATGGACTGGATGAGGGTTAATAAATTGAAACTCAATCCAGACAAGATGGAAGTGCTGTTAGTGGGTGCTTCACCGGACAGGTTGGAGGGCCATTTCCCTGCCCTGAATGGGGTTACACTCCCCCTAAGGGACAGGGTCCACAGCCTGGGGGTGCTCCTGGACCCCAGTCTAACTTTGGAAGCCCAGGTGGACTCGGTGGCCAGAGGCGCCTTCCTTCAGCTGCGGAAATTATACCAGCTGCGGCCCTACCTGGACGAGCGGAGTCTCATGACAGTTACACACGCACTGGTAACATCTCGTATAGATTATTGCAATGCGCTCTA